AAAGAGGAGGGAGAGGAGGGGGAGAGAGAAGGAAGGGGAAGGGCAAAGAGAAGGGGGGAGAGAGAGGGAGGGGAAGAAGGAGGGGATGGGAAGAAGGAGGGGAAGGGAGAGAAGGGAGGGGAAGGGGGAGAGGAAGGAGAGATGGAAAAGAGAAGAGGAAGGGCAAAGAGAGAGAAAGGGGAAGGGGAGAGAGAGAAAAAGAGGAAGAAGAGAGAGTGAAAAAGAGGAACGTGAGAAGGAGGTGCTGAGGGACACCAGGCACTGTCACCCCTGTGCCCCCCGTGCCCAACATTTGCACTGTTCCCTCACCCAAAATCCTGCCCGGACATCCCCCTGGGTTACAATTAACCACATCCTTAAGGCAACTCCCAAATGAGATGGAGCACAAAGTGGAGCTGTGGGATGAACCCTTCTCCCCCCCAGTTCCCGGGGACCCCCGTACCTGGGGGAGGGCCAGCCCCAGGGTGATGCCCCCCAGCAGGAACAGGTTGCTGTGGATCCAGTTGACCAGCTTGTCGATGCAGCCGTTGGTGTAGATGAAGGCACTGGCCTCCAGGTAGCCCTTGTCCTGCATCCCGTGGCCGCACATGGTGTTGATGACGGTCTGGGAGGGAGGACAGGGCAATGAGGGGTTGGGGACAGCTCACACGGGGGGCCCTGCTCTTGGGGGGCAGCTGTGGGGTGACCAGGAGCTCTGCCCTCACCTTGGTGTCAAGCGGGGTGTCCCTTCCTCAGGTGTTCCCACCCCATCCCTCCAGAGCCAGGCCCCCTCAACACTCCCAGCTCCAAAAAGGGACAATCCCTGGGGGCAGCAGGGGGGGATTCACCACCACCTCACCACCGTAACCTCACCTGGGAGTCCCCAGACCCAGAGAGTGGAATGGGGGACCCAAACCCAGAGGGCAGGGATGGGGGTCCATACATTGCCATCAGTGTGTTCCCTCTCCCTGGGAGGGGGTTCCGGGCTCAGCGCAGCCCCAAGGGATGGGGGGAAGAGGCACGGAGTGGGGGCATCCCCTGAGGCCACTCGAGTCCCCCCAGGACTCACCTGGTTGGCGTCGTGCAGGCAGCAGGAGAAGGGGACGGAGCAGCGCTCCCGGCTGGGGTTGGTGGCGGTGCAGTTGAAGTACATGTTCTGGGACCAGTCCTTGTAGGACGCGCCCCCGCAGCAGCTGAACTGTGGGAAGGGCACGGAGCGCTCAGCAGGGACAGGGACAGTGCCGGGGGGGACACAGGACACCGAGGGGTGTTTCTTTCCCCCCACCCCCTTTTCCTCCCGCTCTCCCCAACCTGCCTGGACAGCATCACCACGAACATCAAATCCTCACGGAGGAGCCACCAACCGCCCCCAGCCTGCGGCACCCCACGGATTTAAGCCTGACCCAGGACCGGGGACACGTCCTCGTTTGTCAGAGGAAAACCCCAGAGCCCCCTCACCTCCTTCTGCCCGAAGTCGATGAGGTTCTGCAGGTCCAGGTCGTCCCGGTAGTGCACGATGGCCCCGTTGATGATCTCGCTGACCTTCCCACGCGCCTGCAGGGCGGACACCAGCAGGGCTGTCACCCAGCAGGACAGGACTGGGGTCACCCAGCCCTCCCTCTGCTCCCCACACCGTACCCTGTCGGAGAAGACGAAGCCCAGCACGCCGGCCGCCAGCTGCAGGAGGAACACCACGGTCAGGCAGGCTGAGAACTGCGGGAGAGAGGAGTGTGATGGTGAGGAAACGAGAGGAGAGATGCCGAGATCCCCCCCAGGAGGGTCCCCCGTGAGGGCCTCACCGTCTGCAGCAGGCA